TGACTGATGGGCTGCCTAGGAGATAGGAGGCTACCTGAGGACTAGAGAGGATCGCTGTACCCTCATCACTTTCAGGAGTCATTCATCTCAGTCTCCTTGGGCGGGAGCCCTGTGGATCTGGGGCCAGCATCCTGGAGAATGAATTTTCCGATGCATCTCTTAGCCCATTTACATGTCATCCCTCCAGGTGACAGGGCCCTCGGAGAAGGGGCCTCCTGTAAGGACCTTCCAAGGAAGGAGGAGTTGATGTTTCCTGCAGAGAGAACTGGCCCCTCAGAGGGAGGCTGCTATCCTGGCCAGCCCACGGCTCACCTCCCTGGGAGCCAGAGCTCAGCTGTAGGCCCTGAGTCACTTCATCCAGAGCTGGAGAAACTGAGGGGATGGAGGGAGAGAGGGACGGGCTTGCAGAAGAATCCATGCATAACAGTTACCCAACAAATCAGGGATGCTGGCCCTTCTCCCTCCACTCACTGGGAAAGTCAGGCTCAGAGGTGAATCCTGGCCCAAGATCACCTGCTCAGCGGCAGAGCTGGGACTATGGCTGACACTGACTCACCACACTTTCCATCTGGCTAGCACGGGTCTCAAACTCACCTGCCTGCGAAGGCCAGTCTGCTGGTGTGAATCAGGGACCCCAGCCACGGGGAGAGGCCGGAAAGGGGCCAGACTGGGGGTATTATCACACTGAAAGTCACTTAGTATATGTAGATGCCCTTCAATTCCATACAGGCTAGGCCATTTCGCCCCGAGCTACACCCCTGCTCCCTGGGAGAACACGGCAGCTCATATTTCAGCGGAACACACATGTCTCCTCTGTGAGAGTGGATGTGGCAGCAGGGCGGGCAGGCGTGGGGAAGACGCCTGCCACACTCTCTCTGCCGGTCCAGCTGGGGATCTGTGCAGTGACCTACATTACTCTCCCTCCACCCCCGGACACCCTCTCCCCTCAAGAATGGCAGAACACGATCCATTTCCCAGGCATCGGTCCCCCACCAGCCTCCCCGCATGGAGAAAGCCCGTTTTATTAACACGCTGAATGACAGCACGGCAAATCATTCCAGCCCTCACTGATTTGTGGGCCAGTCTTGGAATCCAAGCCTCCCTTCATTATGGTGCTTTCAAAAGCACACTAGACATTTCCCTCAGCGCCTGCTCCCGTCTGCCACATGGCACGTCTCAGTGGACGCCTTCCTCCAGAACGCCAGGGCAACGCAAAGAAGCTGGGGCTCCCCAAAGGAGAGGGTGTTAGAGGCCTGCCATCCACCCACTCCCCATTGTGGTGGGCGGACGCTGGTGCCCACCTGGGCCACACTGATGGACAGAGTTCAAAACGGAAAAGCAGCCGCCGCTTCCTACTGGCCTACTTTCCAGGGCAGACTGCGGCTGGTGTGAGCAAGAAGGCAATAGGAGGCAGAGAGATTTGGAGAAAAAAATTCAACCTGCTGATTCTTCAACAGTCAGATCTATGCGGCTGGCACAATACGGGGAAGTCCTGATGCCCCTTGCAGAACAGAGGAAATACTGACACAGAAAAAAATGAGCCGGAAGGTGTGTGCAAAAGCAAATCCATCTAAGATTGGACTCTAGGCTGCACAGCCTGAAAGTTTTAAGGGATATTTATGAAAAAAGAAAATCAAAACAACCCACACACCACCACAGGAAACTCTACCACAGGCTTCTCTCCCCGGCCCATCTTCCCCCTCTCACCACAAACTGGACAGGGAACAGCTTTCCTGAAGGTAGCAGTGACCTAGCTCACAGAACATGTGAGGGAGCACAAGGGTGAGCCAAGTGCACCATGGGGAACATGCATGATCTGGGCCTCACATCAAACCCTGCAGGAGAGGCGTCTGCGCAGGGCGTAAGAGGAGGGCTGCAGGCGATGTGACTGAGTGGTGACTCACAAGGAAGGCTCTGCTCTGAGTCTAATGGTCAGAGTGGGCTCCAAGGGGACAGGGCAGCGCTGTCAGGCGGGGCTCTGGCCAGTGGGGTGGAGTGGGAATGGCCGTGGGTATTTGTTGCTTCAGCTGCCAGAACACCACACCACACAGTAACTTGGCTAAGCACCTGGCATTATCCTCACAGCTCTGGAGGTCATGGTGCTTGCTGCTGAGCCGGGTCCAGGAGAAGGGGGCAGCCTTCCCTGCTTGCAGGCAGCTGCCTGGCACTGTGCCCTCACGTCTCCTCCTCCTCTCACGGGGCACTATGGCAGCAGGCCCCGTCACCGCAAAAGACCCCAAATGCCATCCGGCGGAGGGCAGGACTGCAACATATGAATGGGAGGGGTGCAAAAACACCCACTCCATAACAAAGCGTGACCAATTCTCATTTTCTAGAGGAGCTTGATATTTGATTTTTAAAAATCTGATACCTAATGGTTGCTGTTGGCAATATTTCATTTAAGAAAAAACAAATAATAAAACCCTACTGGACTGGTCAAATAAAGCAGGTCCAAGGGCAATGCTCAATCCACAGGTTGTGGGCTTGTCACCCAGACCCCAAAACATGGGCCCTGGCACCAAATGGCGCAGGCTGCCATGTGCAGGTGAGTGACCCTGGGGACAGTCAGGTCACCCTCAGTGCCTCACTTTCCTAACCGGTACTAACTGGAATTTTATGAAGTTGTCCTCTGAATGACGACATTGTAAGGTCCCACCTAAGGAGATGGAGACACGGTGCCCACCGGGTCAGCCCTCAGGGAGACCAGGCAGGCCAACGTTCAGCCAGTGCCCACAGCACGTGCCCACCGGACGCAGGTGTGGAGGGAGCGGCACATGCCCCGTAAACATGACCATGCGTGTTCAGTAGCTACAGCCGATCTTTAGGGTCCTGAGTCACCCTTTGAAAGAGCTGAGGAGCCGAGACCGGTTTGGCTCAATGGATAGAGTGTCGGCTTGGGGACTGAAGGGTCCCGGGTTCGATTCCGGTCAAGGGCATGTACCTTGGTTGCGGGCATATCCCCAGTAGGGGGTGTGCAAGAGGCAGCTGATTGATGACTCTCTCTCATCGATGTTTCTAGCTCTCTATCTCTCTCCCTTCTTCTCTGAACAAAATCAATAAAATATATTTAAAAAAAAAAAAAAGAAAGAGCTGAGGAAATCTGTCAAGATCTATTTTTTTTTTAATGCTTTCCCAGGTTTATTTCCTTAGCCAAGGGAGATTTTATAAAACTGGAGCTCTCTTAGGATAAGGTCTGGCGCTGAAGTAGTCTCACTGGTGTTCGGGGTGCACATACCGGAAATGGTCATGCGGCAGTTCACCCCCTCCCCTCCCGCTCCCCCACGTGAAGCAGTCTGCACATCCCCCTGTGACCCCCTCGCTCAAAAAGACAGAGGCGGAGAGGAGGGCTTGCCTTGGAACTGCGAGGAAAGCCACCAGGGAAACGCTGTGTGATTCATCTGGGTCCCAGCCCAGACCAACGTTCAGCCAGAAATCTGATGTCAATATTGTGTCATTTGCCACAATCCCCGACTGAACCCTTTGTTAAAGCCCGTGAAACCGAACCTGTATTTCCTGTGCCAATCAGGCACAGAAGGTTCTCTCCTGCCTCTGATTAATGGCACCAGCAGGCTGAGGCTGCGCCTCGCACCGAGACGCTCTCATTAGCACACGATTTTCACACTCTGCGGCCCATGTCTGCTAATGCCAGGCGCGACCACAGATGCAGGCCGTGCCAGCGGGAAGGCCACCGCGTGCCTGTGCGGGGCAGTGTTTTCTCTTTCTTAGCATCAGGGCCTAAGGACCAACGCTCTGACTTGATGTTCCCCAGGGAATTTAGCCGAGCGCACAGGCCTCGGGGAGAGGCTAACTCCCAGCACACACCATGGGCCGGGCCGCCTTTCTGAGGGCAGGGCACCTCCGTGAACCAGTGCGGCACTTTCAAAGCAGCGAGCTCCGGCCCTGGCGTCCCGGGTACCCAGTGGGTTCTGCTTGGAAGGCAGGGGCATCTTCCATCACAGGCGGCATGACACAATCACACCTCCACACAAAAGCCCAAGACAATTAGAAAAATGTCAGCAGCCAGCGTGGCTACAATTTCAAAAGCCCCATGCAGGGAAGAGGGGCGGTGCTGGAAATTCACCTTGGAAATGTTGGGAAGGGCGCCCCCCAAAGCAGCACCCCCACCTTCAGAAGCAGAAACAGGCCCCCTGTTATGTGACGGCCGCACTGTTAGAACGGATCAGGTCCCCAGCATGGAGAGAGCTTCGAAGAAAGGAAACTTGTTTATCCCAGCAGACACAGACTCTGGCCAGCGCTTCTCAATGATAAAGCCCACTCCCGTTCCGGGGAGCCACAGCCTTGCTATGGTTTCCATTTTGTGTTTCCATTTCGATGATAACATATTAGAAGGAATGAAACTACATTCACCATCTGAAGACTGAATAACAAGGGCTGCTTCACCGCTCCAGAGCTCCAGATCCAAGGAAAATGTCTCAGGCTGGAGAGACTTGCCAGGACAAGGAGAACTCACCGTGACAGCCACCTGCTTCAAGGTGCCGCACAAGCAGGTGCTTCCAGGCCCTGTGACCCGAGAACCACGGGGAGGTAGAGGTCTGCGACCATCCTGTAAGGGCTTAACTTGTAAGCATCCTTAACTTCTTACTCTTTCAAGGAGGTGTAAGAATAAGGAATTTATATTAATTCTAAGTCTGCCCATACATAAGCAACGTTAATATGAAAACCACATAAGCCTGAGAACTCTCCTTGGGTTCACTCCCCGAGCTGAGAGTCTGACCACCTGTGGGCTGCAGGGAGCATGAATGCCCCTGTGCTCGCAATCTATGCACGTATGAAACCACACGGCCCCGCACTCCTTTGAAGACTCAAATCTAACGGCTCCTTTACAGACTTTCACGAGCCCCTCGGGAACTCCAAAGCCCATGGCCCGAGCCTCCCTGTTGGCGCCTGGGCCCAGGGTGTCTAGGGCACAGGCTGCTTGCTGCCAGCCATGGAAAAGAGAAGGACGGGCCGGCGGAGCGCGTCCCACGGATGGTACTCACACGAAGAAGGGCATCAGCTGAACCAGGGTCTCCTTCTTGGGGCTGGCGGCAAACTCGGGGACGGCCTGGATGACTTTGTTCATGACGCTGCGCAGGTAGCTCTGCAGCTGCTTCCTCCGCTCCTCTACGAACTTGGCGTCCTGGGGAGACAAGACAGATGCTCCGTCAAGCCTCCTCGCCTACCCACTCCCACAGCACACACCGGGCCCTCGCCGCCAGACAGCTCACGTTTATCGAGTGATCACACATGCAAAGGGCGTCTCAGGCTTTACACGTGTGATCATTTAATGAAAGGGATGATGCTCATGAAATTAGGTGTGGGCGCAGGCCCAGCGAACTCCCTCAGTGTGTTCCCAGAACCCAATGAAGTCTCAGCAACTCTGGACTCTGTTACCGAGTGCCCAGCATGTGCCAGATGTGCTGCCAGGGACTCAGGGTGCACCAGCAAACACACAATGTGGCCCTGGTGGAGTCCCAGGCCAGTGGGGGTGGAGGTGGGGACACACACAGAGATAAAACCGGTGACCACACCACAAGTCAGTGTGTAATTGTTAATCACATCAAATGCCACCCTGGAGAGAGGGTGCTTAATTTTGCCTTCACAGGAATTTTCCTGAATAAAAACCTATTACCGCTATTTAACAGATTTCATTGATAAACAAATTCCACCTACCTTCTCTTGAAAAGCCGGGAGACATGACAGCACAGTCCTCCCTAGTGTGGCCCCCACAGGCGCAGGCCAGGCCCTCCCCTCACTGCTCTGGATCCCTGCTCATCCCCCCATACGCCCCGCCCCCACACCCGGCCAGCTTCCCAGGCGTGCGCCCCTGCAGTCTCTCGGGGTCAGAACTTGGATTTGTGTCATCTGCTGTCCCTGTCTTGAAATTCTTAAGAATCTTAGAACATGGGGCCCCTTAGATTCTGTAGCCCATCCTGCAGCGAGGGGCAGGGAAGGCTTTCTCCAGCGAAGCTCCCACTACACCGGAGGCCAGGGCGGGCAAGACAGAGCAGAGGGAGGCCACAGGGCAGGGTCGCTCATCCCAAAGAGGAGGAGGAGCACACTCTGATGACTCTCCATGTCAAGCAAGGAAACTGCGGCTGAGAGAGGACGGGACCGGGCGACGCATCCACAGGGTCCCTCACCCGCCCCACACCCTGGGTCAGCACAGAGCCGGCCGCGCCCAGGATGGCCTGGTCTCTGAGAGCGCCCCAAGGCCCTGCCAAGGACTCCAGTATGGCAGGGAGATGCTTTAAGAAGTGCCAGGTTTAGCAAATAAAGACACAGAATGCCCAGTGAAATGTGAATTACAATAAGCAGTGAGTCCTTTTTCAGTTTTCATAATTCAATATTCAATAATTCATAATTCAATAAATTTTCATTATTCCACTGTGCACCACACAGTAAAACCTTTCCATGCACTAGTTGGGACACACTGAAACCAGGGAATTATTCATTGTTTATCTGAAATGAAAATGTAACTGGCTGCCCTGCATTCACCTGGCCGCCCCTGAGCACAGGCGGGAGGAAGAAACGCAGGGCAGGAGCCAGGCCCCTTGGAGGCCACAGCAAGGCCTCCAGCCCAGAGCCACTCCCTGGTGACACCTCCGTGGGACCTTCCCTCTGCCCCCCTTCCCTCCCCCCCAGTGGCAGCCATGGGACAGTGTGAGGGCCACTCCCCTCATGCAGGCACAGTCCCAGGCAGGGGGACAGGAGGGGGCCTGGAGGGCAGTGTGGATGCCCAGAATGGGCAGAGTGGAGCCACAGGCCCTCACTCGGCCCACAGTAGGGCCCCAGGCCCTGTTCCAGGTCCTGAATGCCAGGCTCAGCCTGACCGCTGCCTAGAATGAGCTCATAGTTCATCATGTGCCTCCTCTACTCGATGGTAAGTTGCAGGAAGTCTTGTTCACCCCTTCATTGCAGAGCCCAGCACAGTGCTGAGCTCACGAGCCCCCGTAAGTATTTGCTGCAAGAACTAATAAATGTGGGGGTAGATTTAGAGGAATCCAGGCAGCCAGCAGGGAGAACGGCTTGGAGGCTATTGCCAAGTCCAAACAGGAGATGGCAAAGATGCCCACCATGGAGTGGGAGGGAGAGAAGGCTGGCCTGTGGACCAGCTCCCGGGTCCCAAACCCTCTGGGCAGGGAACAAAGGGAGAAGACCAATACTAAGTGAGCAAAGAAACATAGCGGTGGGGATGCACACAGAACGGCAGCAGGCCTCGGACAGCGAGGGGAGCTGGTCCTTCAGACACCCCATTTGTCACAGGGGCTCCGGAGGAGAGCAGCATCGGGGTAGGAACCTGTTCCGCTGGGTGGTGTGCAGCACCAAGAGAACCGTGAGTGTTCGTGAGATGTTTGCTTGGGCTCCTGGGGCTGCAGTGAAATGGCACAAGAAGCGATGGAACTGAGGAAGCCCGGCTCGGAGGACCTGCCAGGCCCTCTGTGACCGCTTGGAGGCCCTCACTGCCATGGCCTGCTGCCATTCTGTGCGCATCCCCACACAATACTTCTGTCCGTGATGGTTTGCAGGTAGGAGCGGAGAGCTCAGGGAGTGAGTCTTCTCCTTACAAAACGACATTCAGGGCTATTTTAATGGAAGCATTTCCGCCCCCCCCCCAAAAAAAAATGTTAATTTTATTTTGAGCCTCAAGAATATAAAGACACCATCATATTAAGAATAACTATTTTTGAAACAGCAGGGTGTCTGTGAAAGCTATGGTTTCTAGGACAAGTGCCCAGACACTGGCCCCTGCACTATTACAACGTTTTTGTCCAGCCCAGGGTATCTTCTCAACCATGTACCCCCTCTCCAGGGGGCCTCCCCAGGAGCCGCCCTTCACGTGAGCTGCAGGTGGGCACAGGGACCGCATCCACAGACTTCCTCCTTTCATCTAAGAAAAACGTGGTTTTCCTAAAACAAGTAAACCCTCCTTCAGGAGCAGCAAGCAGCTAGGCCCTGAGGAGAGACTGCAGCTTAGGAGTCAGCGGATGGCTAGAGCATCCGGAACACTGGTGAGGACCCAGGAGCCAGGCATTAAGGCCCTCTGGCTATAAGATTCCCTCCCATGCCCAGCTCTGATGAGACTGGGCACAAAGGAAGACGAGATTTCCCAGGGTCTGCAGTGGGATGGGAGCCACAAACCAGGCACGGCCAGCTCGACCTGAGTGGGGGTGAGGCAGCCATGACAAGGAACATGCTCAGAAACCCCTTCCTTCCCCAGCAACGTGTGGAGGCCACATGTGGAGAAGGCAGAACCACTGGAAAGAAGGAGGGTGACCAAAGGCACCAGTCTGCCTGGGGCTGTGGCATGAATGAGAAGTGCCTCCAGGGCTGACAGCCAAGTCCATGTTTACGCCACCGCGTGAGAGGCACTTGTGCTAATTATGCTGATACACAGCCGCTCACTCAGTGTGGCTGCACGTGCCTGCCCTGTGCACGCAGCAAGCCTGAGGGAATGCACTCGGCAGAGGATGCAGCCCTGTCTGCAGGAGCAGAGCCCAGCAGAGAGAGGAGACAAAAGCAGGGCAGGGATACAAAGTGACCAGTGCTCCGGCGGAGTGGGTGTGGGCGAACCTGAGGAGGGAGGAGACTCAGCCTGGGAGGCGATCCTGTGGAGGGTGAGGCCTGCAGGCTGAGGGGCAGGAAATACACAGAATAAACCCAACATGGGTTAAAGACCTAACTGTAAGACTGGAAACCACAAAAATCCCAGAAGGAAACACGGACAGTAAAATCGCGGACATTTCTTGTAGCAATATTTTTTCTGGTATGTCTCCTTGGGCAGGGAGACAAATGGGACTACATCAAGCTAAACAGCTTGCACAGCAAAGGGAACCATCAATGAAATGAAAAGATTACCCCCTGCACAGGAGAACATATTTGCCAATGATCCATCTGATAAGGGGTTAATATTCAAAATTTATAAAGAACTCAACACAACAAAACCCCCAAACAACCTAATTAAAAAATGGGCAAAGGACCTGAATAGACATTTCTCCAAAGGGAACACACAGATGCCCAACAGACATATGAAAAGATGCTCAATGTCCCTAACCATCAGAGAGATGTAAATTACAACCATAACGAGGTGTCACCTTACACCTGTCATCACCAAATCAACAATCAGCGTTGGTGAGGATGGAGAAAAGGGAACCCCCATGCACTGCTGGTGGGATGCAGGTTGGTGCAGCCACTGTAGAAAACAGTTTGGAGTTTCCTCAAATAATTAAAAATGGAACTGCCTTAGGATCCAGCAATTCCACTGCTGAGAGGATGTCCAAAGAAACCTGAAACATTATTTCAAAAGAATATATGCACTCTTATGTTCATTGCAGCATTATTTACAACTAGTAGCCCTGCACACGAATCCGTGTGCCAGTAGGTTGCTGCTGCCCTCCTGTGCCCCCCCCCATCCACCTGCTCCCCCTTTATAGCTTGTGTCTCTGCCCCCTCCTGTAGCTCTCTGCCTGCTGCCCCGCCCTCCTGTAGTTCCCCCAGCTCCCCTTCTCCCTCCTTCCTCCCCTGCTGCCTCACCGTCCTGCAGATCTGTGATCTGGTGGTCATTATGTGGTTGGTCGTTAAGCCTCAGGGCATAATGGATAATTAGAAATATTCCTCTCTTATTATACAGGATAGCCAAGATCTGTAAGGAGCCCAAGTGCCCATCGGTAGAAGAGTGGATTAAAAAGCCGTGGCAGCCTGGCCGGTGTAACTCAGTGGTTGAATTTCCTCCCTCTGTTTTGTGTAGAACAAACTGTGTGGTTGAAGGCAAAGAAACCATGAACCCCACCTTCCTAATGGGGAACAGAAAGTTTCACAGCACTGAAAAAATCCTCCCAAGAGTGGCACTGATAGCAGCAGCAGGAATGATCCTATCTAATAAAAGAGTGATATGCAAATTGACCATCACTCCAACACAAAAGATGGCTGCCACAAGATGGAAAGCAGGGAAGGGCAGTTGGAAAGGACCAGGCCTGCAAGGGAGGACCGTTGGGGGCAATCAAGTCTGCAGGGGAGGGCAGTTAGGGGTGATCAGGTTGGCAGAGGAGGGAAATTGGGGGCAACCAGGCCTGCAGAGAAGGGCAGTTAGATGTGACGAGGCCTGAAGGGGAGGACAGTTAGGGGTGACCAGGCCTGCAG